GGTTCCTAGAAGAAATGCCTCACACTGTGGACAAAGTTTAGAGCAAAATGGGAAGCGTGACTGCACTTATCACACTTTCTGTTTGCTCACAAATCCTTGTCTTCAAGAACGACATTTAAGAATATTTTGATTAAATTATTTAAATATAAAATAGTTCTGTCTTCTCTAGCAAAGACTGAAGCTGGCTCATTGTAAAATGGGGAGTTAGATTAGGATTAGAATTCGACACCCGCTTTGTAGCAGATACTTTCATTATATTACTTAATCTGCACAATCCTATGAGGTAGGGGTGTGTATGCAAGATAGAGAGAAAATGAGTGAATGAACGAATGAATGAATGGAGGCTCCTCCAGCCAGATCCACAAAAAATGTCAACGCTTGCCTGTGTGCTTGGGAGTAATGAAAGAGTCCAAGTACAGGGCAGTGGACTTTCTATCAGGTGGGGCTTATTGTCATTGTACCTAAACCTGCAATGTCTTTCCCAAGCTCTCTACCAGTCCTCTCGGCTTCCATTTCCAATCCCTGTAACCCAACGCAGCATTGCTCCAACAGTAACATGTACTGCATCCTCTGAGGATAAGGTAAAATGCAGAGGCTGGCTCAGAAGGGCTGGGCAGGGCCTGCGAGTCTGCATTTCTCAGCAGCTCCCGGAGAAATCCGATGCTGCTGGTCTTTTGCCGACACTTTAAATAATGAGGTCCTGGAAAACACAGTGGAGTCCCTGGATGGTGAAAATGGTTAAACTCGCTCGCCTGCTAACCCAAAGGTTGGAGGTTCATGTCCACCCAGAGGTGCCTCAGAAGAAGGGCCTGGTGATCTACTTTGAAAAAAATCAGCCTTTGAAAACTCTATGGAGCACGGATCTACTCTGATACACCTGAGTTTGCCATGAGTAGGAGTCAACTTGATGGAAACTGATGGTTAGAAAACACAACACAGAGACTGGTCAAATGTATAATTGGTGAGAGTTCAGGCTACCTGACATAGAACAAGTTACTAGACACTGCATTCTTGGACAGTGTTTTTATCTATAATTAGCTGAGCATCTTCTCTTTCTAGGTCCACAATAAGCCTCTTTATATATCACAACTCGTTCTTCCCAGGCAGATCAAGCATGGAAACAAAGAATAGAAGTTTCAAGTCCAAGAAGTTGGTCCAGAAATAGGCATGAAAGGCTGGGAGGTTTCCGTTTCCATTGAACAATTATCTCATTGCCTTCTGCCAATGGCTACCTATTTGTTTTTCTCACAGTGAACTTCTACCAAGTGACGTCTCACTTCAAACATGAAGAACAGGCATTAAAACGTTTCCCTTTGAATGCATTCTGGCTTGCTTTGTTTTTGCAGCCCCAACACCAGCCACTAGAATCATCAAATAATTCAAAGGAAACAAACATTGTTCCAGTCTTTTCAGACTAAGGAAATGTGTGTTTGGGGCATTTCCGTTAGGGAGAGGGTAGGAAGGCGAGAACATCATTGAACGTTTATTCTCTGATGCTAGAAGTGCCCTTTGGAATTTTAGAGCCCCACCCCGTTCAGAAAGTTTAGCATTTGCTGTGGGTCTGACCTTCATATGAGAATAGGTATGAAAACTCCCTGAAATGTCAGATTTCTAGTATATTTCTAGTATATCACTATAGTCAGTGATTGAGTGGAAAAGATTGCATTTACTAGTAACTTCTTAACTGATATCTACATGTTTAATTTTCATCCTCATTAACAATATGCCTTTAAATAAATACCTGTACGTCCTCGTAAAGCACTAGCATTTCTTACTGTATTTTTTATTCATTCTACTTTTTTTTCTTTGTTAGCAAGAAGGTTGATAGACTTTTCCCTTACTCATCTCTGCCTACCCAACACTTCACAGGAGGAAATGCCTTCTCTCCTGTCTTTGCTCAGATATTTCTTTGAAAACAATCTTACAGTGGAATAAATCTCAAATTACTCCATTGGAGTTGAATGGAGCCCTAATTACTTGACTTCGTCTTGTACCATTCCTCACCCTCAAGATAATGCCAAGCTCTTTCCTACCTCAGGGCCTTTGCACTTGGTATTCCTGCTATGTAGAACTCTTTTTCTGTGTGTTGTGTGCCTAACTCCTTCTACTTTATTGTCTTAAAAGCCTCAGCTGAAATGTTCCTTCAGCAATAAGACTTCCTCAGACATTCTGTCTTAAATAGAACCCTCCACATACATATACACTCTCAATCACACTCTTGCCCAGCACTATCCAATAGAACTGTCTGCAGTGATGAAAATGTTCTATATCTGCATTGTCCAACACAGCAGCCACTAGCCACATGTGGCTATTAAGTACTTGAAGTATGGCTAGTTTTACTGAAGAACTTTAATTTTAGTTTAAGTTTATTTAAATAACCACATGTGGCTAGTAGCTACAGTGAAGATGTAATACATTAACCTGTTTCATCTACTTCATAGCCTTTATCTCTAACTGAAATTATCTTGTTCATATGCTTTCCTCATGTTTATCATCTGTCTCTTCATCCCAGAGTACCTTCTCTGTTAACCACTAGATACCCAATCAGAAACCCTGGTGGCATAGTGGTTAAGAGCTATGGCTGCTAACCAAAAGGTCGGCAGTTCGAATCCACCAGGCTTTCCTTGGAAACCCTATGGGGCAATTCTGCTCTGTCCTACAGGGTCGCTATGAGTCAGAATCGACTCAACAGCATGAGGTTTTTAGATACCCAATAAGAAGCTCTGGTGGCGCGGTGGTTAAGGGCTAGACTGCTAACCAAAATGTCGGCAGTTTGAATCCACCAGCTGCTCTGTGAGAGAAAGACTTGGCCATCCACTTCGGTTCAGATTACTGCCTTGGAAACCCTAGGGGGGCAGTTCTGCTCTGTCCAATAGGGTTGCTATGAGTTGGAATCAACTTGATGGCAACAGGTTTGATTTTTTGGTTTAGATACCTGGTGCTCAGCATAATGTGTGGGAAACAGTAGATCCTCAAAGAATTTTTATTAAATTAGCATCAAAACGAGTAAATGCCACTTAAGAACATTTTTTTGTTTTGTTTTGTATGTTGGCTTCTATTTATATCATTGTCTGCAAAGAAAACCGAGAGTCTGGCCCTAGGTGGTTTTGTAACACAGAATACCATCTAGCTGTCTACCTATGTAATTGGTTTTATGACATTCAGCTCAGCATTTTGCATTCATCGTGATCAATTGTATCTCCTTAGTGTTTGTCTGTCATTCCATTACGTTGAGATGGGTCTAGAATTTGCCCCACCCAGTTTCAACATATTAGTATATTTGGCAAAGCAGGTTTCCGTTGCTCTGCCCTACCTTTAGCTTATGATACTGGCTAAGTGTTGTTGATTGCAGAAGCTTAGAATTCTAATCCAAGATATTACTGTCTTCAGGCATAGGTTTTTTGATTGAGTTAAAATCAAGTCCTTGGCTGTTTTGGAGGACAAAAGGCCAGACGTTTGTTATTACGTGAAATTTCTGCAAGCTTTGTTTTTATTCCCTTTCTTTAGCAGTATTCTCATAGTAGCTAAAAAACAGCATAAATGCATAAAATTTCACAGTATGGAAGATCCTCTTTGTATGCAGATATTAGGAGGCTCTATCCATTTAATTTTTTTTCTCTCAATTAATGTACCCATGCCTTATTTCATCTGCTCCAGAAATCAATATGTGTGTGTGTGTGTGTGTGTGTATGTGTGTGTGTGCACGCCTATAAATTTGTGAGCGGTTGAAGTATGTTAAAGAAAAATGTTTCTAAAATAATCCTTCCACCCAAGCATACCTGCCTTCATTTTTGCTTTAAAAAAAGGAAACTTAGTTGCTTCACGGCAACCCCAGGTTTCTCAGAGTAGAACTGTGCTCCATGGGGTTTTCAACGGCTGTGACCTTTTGGAAGTAGATTGCCAGGGATTTCTTCCGAGGCAACTCTGGGTGGACTCAAACCTCCAGCATCTCAGTTAGCAGCTGGGCACGTTAACCGTATGCACCACCCAGGAACTCCAAGTGCTAGATAGGTGCTGGTTATTAATATTATTATTAGTCACACGACAGCTCCTTTGAGATAGGTATTTTTATTAACTCCATTTTACAGATGTGGAAACTGAGAAGTCAGTTAAGTGTCTTGCTCAAGGTCACATAACTAGTGAGAAACTGAGCTATGATTACAACTGCAAAGACCCTTGTCGGACCATGATTATCTACCGTTTTCTGTGCAGAGACCACCACTGAGCTCACAGAGAGGTGTTACCGATACAGATAAGTAAAATCAAGGCTGAAATGAACATAGAAAATGAGAGCATGAGGTCATGGCCGTTCACTAGAAATACCACGGCATAATTTACTGTTGCCAAGACAAACAATAGAGCTGGTGTTCATGCTCTGTTTTCTTCATTCTTGAGATCTAAAGATAGTTCCCCGTGGAAGGGTTGCATGGGATTGCAAAATCCCCGCTAGACTGTGAGCCTCTGGCAGGAGTCCCCAGGTCTTATTCAGCCCTCTCAACTGCCAAGGTCCTTGACTGAAGAAGACCCTCTTTAAATATTTATTGACCTGAATTTCTTCTAAATATTACCATAAACACTTTTGGTTATCTCTTAATGGACTCTGTTCACAACAGCTTAGTCAATTATTTTTTATTAGCATAGCATTCCTTTTAAGCATAATGAGGTTGGAAACATAGAAAACAATGTAAGCACATTTTCTCAGCTATTGCTGATTATGAGCGGGGGTTTTACATCTTATTTTTTATTTTTTTGGACTTCTTTGCAGATTTAATGAATTAATTGTAATTTTCCCAAGGGGGATCTAGCATGAATGGATCTTTACCTTTTATTCTGAAATGTTTCATTTCTATTCCAGTCCCAGTGACTATCCACTGAGACCAAAGTCTGAACATTGCCAAGGGCTCATAAGATTGCTGATATAACCTTTCTCCATAGGACCTGACTTCGATTTTCATAATGAAGTAATGCTGTCTTTCTCCCCCATCTCTTTGCTCAAATAGCTATTTGTGGAGACTACTGATGTCAGTGGCAGAACTCTCGAGGGGCCGGTCCCTCTGGAAGTCATCGTGATTGATCAGAATGACAACAGGCCAATCTTTCGGGAAGGCCCCTACATCGGCCACGTCATGGAAGGGTCACCTACAGGTATGTTAAGTCAGCTTATCATTACTGTAATGGCTTGCTAAGTCTAATGTGGTGATCTTTAGGGACTTCAGAGGACCGTTTTATTGTTGTTCCAAACAGCTGGCATGTAACAACATTAACATATTATTTCCCTGGATGGAAGCAAGAGCTGGAAAGCTGAAGTTCAGAACATGACTGGGATGTCATAAGCTATGAAAATATTTCCTGTGGGGTCTCTGAAGATGATTCTCCAACAAGGATAGGCATTTAAGTCCCTAACCCACGGCTGGTCATGGGCACCATATAAATACCCACCTCATCCTTGTGAGGGACCAAGGCTGAACTTTCCAAAGTAGAACTTTGGAGAGAATTAAGGCCCCCTCTACAAACCCCCCAGTTATTTCTTTTAACAATTGC